GGACTCAGCCTCCAGGTATATGTAGGAGGTGTGGCAAAGGTCGACACTGAACCAATGAATGAAGGTCAAAAAGAGATAGACAAGGCAACCGGATACCATCAGGAAACATCATGGGGGGGCCTCACACAGGCCCCATGATGAATGTGGTACAGTCATTCCCAGTTACTGTGTTGAACATGTCTTGCCAGGAAAGTTAAAAAATCCAATGCCTGCTGTAAAAAGCATTACTGCTCTGGATGATGGGTTTAGTGTGGAGGATGAGTCAAAAACTCTAGTAGGACAGAGGAAATGCTTATTTTGGCAGATAAATGATCAAAGACCAAAGCTAAGAGTTTGTATAAATGGCATTTTTATTGAAGGCTTTTAATTTTAATTTTTATATTATAGACACAGGTCCAGACATAAGTATCATTACTTCAGAATCTTGGCATCTGAATTGACCTCTTCAAGAGGTAGATATTTAATTCATGGGAATTGAAACCAAATCTTGGGTAAAACAATGCATGAGATGGGTTGAATGCATAGGGCCAAAAGGGCAAATAGGCAGATTAAGGCCATATATAGCCAATATTGCAGTGAATTTGTGGGGTTGTGATGTATTGCAGCAATGGAATACCTAGATTTACATTCCTCTAGCCCCCAAAACTTATGTTTCTGAGGAAAATATTAGAAGATATTACAGATGACGGACACCATCATTTGGGCTGTGCAAGAACACAAAGCAATTGATAAACCTTCAGAGGTACCATCAGTCCTACCTTTAAAGTGGTTAACTGAGAAACCAATATAGGTTAAGCAGTGGCCTCTAGCTGAGGAAAAGTTTCAGGCTATAGAACAGCTGATACAAGAGCAACTAGATGCTTGACATATAGAAGAATCTACCAGCCCTTGGAATTCTCCTGTATTTGTTGTTGAAAAGAAATCTGGAAAATGGAGAATGGTGAAAGATCTAAGGGCTATCAACAATGTTATTCAACTTATGAGCCCTCTACAATCTGGAATTCCTCTGCCTTCTCTGCTACCAAAGTGATGACCTCTCATAGTTATTGATTTAAAGACTTGTTTCTTCACTATACCTTTACAAGAAAAGGATAGAGGAAAGTTTGCCTTCACAGTGCCTACTTACAATAAATCTCAGCCTACTAGAAGATAGACTCTCCTCCCACAGGGAATGCTCAGTAACCCCATCCTGTCCCAATACTTTGTCAGCCAGCCATTGGAAATAATAAGAAAGCAATTTCCTAGGTCTACAATCCACCATTACTTAGATGACATTTTGTTATCTGATGCAAAAACAGATACTTTGCATTACCCTGATGGCTAAGAATGTTGAACACTTATGTGTTACACAGCTATTTGGTTTTCCTTTTCCTTTATTGAGAATTATTAATTTAGAGCTTTACCCCAACTTTACCTGAGCAATTTGTTTTCTTAATTTCTAGTTTCTTGAATTCTAAATATATTTTGGATATTAATCCTCTATCTCTCAAATGTGTAGTTAGTGAAAAAAATTTCCCATTCTGTAGGCTGCTTCCCTGTCAGAGTGACAATGCTATTTGCCTTGTAGAAGCCTTTCAGTTTCATGAGGTCTTATTTATTACTTACTGATCTTACGGCCTGTTATAAAGGTTTTCTCTTTCACAGAAGTTGTCTTCTGTACTAATGCACTCAAAGCTATTCCACACTTTTTCTTTATCATGTTGAGCATATATGGTTTTATATTGAGGTATTTGATCTATTTAAACTTGAGTTTTGTGAAGGTGATAAACATGGATTTATTTAGGTTCTTTTACAAGAAGTCAACCAACTTGATCAGCAGCACCATTTGGAGAATATGACATTATTTTCCAGTGTATGTTCTTATTGTCTTTACAAAAAACTCAGGTATCAGATGCTGTGTAAATTTATATCCATCTTCAATCAATTCTCTGGTCAATATGTCAGTTTTTATGTTAATTCCAAGCTGTGTTTTAAAATTATTATGATTTTGTACTACAGGTTGAAATTAGGAATAGTTTTTAGTGATACTTGCTCAAGGTTTTTACTTTTTACATTCCCTTTCAAGGTCTCTGAGAAATTGTGTTAGAATTCTGATTGGGATTACTTTGAATCTGTAAACTGCTTTTAGTAGGATGGTCATGTTTAATATGTTTATCCTATCAAATTAAGAACATTGGAGATCTTTCCTGCCAGCTATTTTATCCAATATCTTAAAGATTTTTTAATCATATATGACATGTATTTACTTGTTTAGAGTTACATTAACATATATTATACATTGTGAGACTTCATTGTAAAAAATGTTGTTATCCTGGATTCAATTGTAAAGAAAAATGAAATTTGTTGGTAAATTAATAGAACTATAAAAGATCATATTGAATGAGGTAATCCTGACCCAGTAAGAAAATGTCACATGTTCTTTCTCATGACAGGCTCCTAGATCCAAATATTCATATGTGAGAAATATCCTGGATTAACTTCAGAATCCAGGAAAGTAAAACAGATCTATTGTCAGGAAAAGGGTCTGGTGAGCAGCAGAGTGGGGGAATAGCAAGGTAAATATGATCTCATCAGGTAAATGGATAAAGAGTTCTTGAGGGATAAAAAAATGGGTAAAAACAGAAGAAGAAGAGGGTGACAAAGGAGAATAGCAGGGTACAAAAGCAGGTAGAAGAAATGGGGAAATGGAGAGTTCTCTAGAAAGGGAAAGGAAGGAATTGCAGAAGAAAGAGGGATGAGTAAAATAATAGTAATGACCTCTGTAAAAGTCATAAAGAATCATACTACTCACTGTCTATGAAAACTCCTATGTAATTCTTTTCATAAATACTCATATATAGTTTTAATAAACTTTTCTAACTTGGGCTAGCAATGCTCTCTCCAAAAGCCAAAGACCACCTAACAAAATCTCCCAAGCGAAGCATGAAATTTTTTTTTTTACTTGTTTGGCAAGGTTATCCCAAACAAAGGGCCTATTACTATTTCCCCTGGTTGTCCCTGTGGGGTTCTCTGTGTAGGGAAAGTGAATTGAACAAAGGGACAAGAATAAAAACCCAGTCACAGCTGGAGGGCCCAGATCCCTGAACCCTAGCCCCAGAGACACATTCCATGAACCACCCCCACCCAGCTAGACCACAGGGACCTGAGAACAGTCTCCTCACACACATATTCATCCCGTTCCACATCTCTGACCAAGGGAGACATGGCCATGATTGCCCCTGGAGAGTGATTGTCTGGGTTTGCAGCTGAAAGGTACACCTGCAGGCACTTATGCATAATCTAAATATCTATGACCACCTGAGCCTTGGCCCTGACTGCTCTTGGATAGGTGAGTCTGGGTTTATGGCTGGAGTGTTCAGCTCTCTGGATCCGAACCCATAGGGGAACATTCCATGTAGCACCCCGACCACCAAACCCCAGAGATCCCAGAGCATCCTCCCTACACCCACAGTCATACAGTCATCCCACACTGTACCTATGAGAATTGGAGATTTGGCCCTGATTTCATCTGGAGATGAGCCCCCTGAGCTACATCAGCAACTTCCATGGGTACATTTCCAAGGACACCAAAAGAGCGATCATATAAGTTACAGGCTCCACCTGCATTAGTTGGAGAAAAAGAGAACCCCTAAAGAACAGGCCCCACCTGAATCCCTTGTAGGAAGAGATAGGTAGGTCCCAAGGCAATAATATATTGTAATATAATAGTTGCAATATAATAATACATTACAATATAATAATATATTGTAATATAATAATAATGCAGCAACCAAAAGAGCAATATGGTAACACCTGAACCTAGCGGCCCTACAAAAGGTAGACCTGAACATCCTAACCCAGAAGAAGTAGGAGAAAACATACTTGAATATAACTTTCTGGAGATGACAGAGACCCTTAATGAGGAAATGAAAAATCAACTTAAAGAAATGGAGGAAAAGACAAACAAATTGGAAGAAATCAATAATTCACTTATGGTGCAAGAGAATCATTTGTATTCTGTCAATTATGTTTTAAATAAACATTGATTTGCCAGTAGCCAGGCTGGAAGTATAGGCAGAACAATCAGACAGGAAGTAGTGGCAGGTCAAAAAGAACAGGAGAATTCTGGGAAGGAGGAAGCCCATTCCTCTGTAGTCCTGTCCAGACACCAAAGAAGCAGGATGTGGCCTGCCCCTATAAAAAGGCACTGAGCCATGTGGCTAACATAGGTAAGAATAATTGGCTAGTATAAGTTATAAGAGCTAATATGAAGCCTGAGCTAATGGGCCAAACAGTTTATTTTCTTTATAATTTTCTTTGGGGCTTACCAGCTGTAGGACCTGGTGGGAGGACAGAAACTTAGTCAGCACCCTTAAAGAAAGCCATGAAAACCAAGAAAAAAACAAACAGGTGAAGATGACAGTTCAAACAGTTCAACATTTGAAAACTGAGATATAATCAATAAAAAAACACAAACCAAGGAATTATGGAAATAATAAATTTCCAAACAAACAGGAACTACAGATGCAAACATAATCAACAGATTAAAAGAGATGGAGGAGAGAATCCCAGGTCTTGAATATATAGTAGAAAAAATAGACTCATCAGTCAAAGAAAATGTTAGTTCCAACTAATTCTTAACACAAAACATCCAGGAAATCAGGAACACTATGAAAAGATTGAACCCAGTAATAATATGGTTAGAAGGAGAAGAAGTCCAACTCAAGGCACAGAAAATATTTTCAATAAAATCATAAGAAAACATTCCCAACTTAAATAAAGTTATGCCTATGAAGATAGAAGAAGCATGCAAGACACCAACAAGACTAGAACAAAGAAATGTCCCTTACCATATAATAATCAAAATACTAGGAGGGCCTGGTGTTGCGGCGGCAGATGCGGCCTGAGGGAGCTGCGGGCGGGGCAGCGCCTGGTCCTGCAGGGCCGCTCTGGCTGAGGGGCTGAGGGGTGTCCATGGAGCGAGGGCCTAGGCTGGGCGTGGCCTCAGCCTGAGGGCGGCCATGTCCAGGGTGGTGCGGACCCTCAGTCGCTGCCTGCCGGAGCCCACAAGCACAGGGCCGTCACAGAGCGCGAGGCTCGACTGCGCAGCCAAGCCATTGACGTGTTGCTGGCCCTCGAGCTGCGTGCGGTCAGATGGCTGGTCAAGATCCTGCTGCTGGGTGCCGGTGAGAGCGGCAAGTCCACGTTCCTCAGGCAGATGTGCATCATCCACAGCCTGGAGTTCGACCAGAAGGCTCTACTGGACTTCTGCAACACCATCTTCGACAACATCCTCAAGTGCTTGAGGGTGCTTGTGGATGCGTGTGACAAGCTCGGCATTCCCAGGCAGCACTCTGAGAATGAAAAGCACGGGATGTATCTGATGGCCTTTGAGAACAAGGCAGGACTGCCTGTGGAGCCTGCCACCTTCCAGCTCTACCCGTGCCAGCCCTGAGTGCACTCTGGAGGTACTCCGGGATCAGAGAAGCCTTCAGCCGCAGGGGCGAGTTCCAGTTGGGTGAATCAGTGAAGTACTTCCTGGATAACTTAGACTGGATTGGCCAGCTGAACTACTTCCCCAGTAATCAAGACATCCTGCTGACCAGAAAGGCCACCAAGGGAATCGTGGAACATGACTTCGTTATAAAGAAAATCCCTTTTAAAATAGTGGATGTGGGTGGCCAGAGGTCACAACGCCAAAAATGGTTCCAGTACTTCGATGGGATCACATCGATCCTGTTCATGGTGTCATTGAGTGAGTATGACCAGGTCCTCATGGAGGACAGGCGCACCAACCGGCTAGTGGAGTCCATGAACATCTTTGAGACCATTGTCAACAACAAGCTCTTCTTCAATGTCTCCATCATCCTCTTTCTCAACAAGATGAACCTCCTGGTGGAGAAGGTGAAGTCAGTGAGCATTAAGAAGCACTTCCCAGATTTCAAGGGTGACCCACACCAGCTGGAGGACGTCCAGTGCTACCTGGTACAGTGCTTTGAAAGGAAGCATTGGAACTGCAGCAAGACCCTGTTCCACCACTTCACCACTGCCATAGACACCGAGAACATCCGCTTCATGTTTCAGGCTGTGAAGGACACGATCCTGCAGGAGAACCTGAAAGATATCATGGCTGCAGTGAGAGACAGCCCCTCTGCCGTCCTCTCGTGGCCTCCATGGCCCTTGGTCACATGTCTCTGGTGTGTCGTCGCCTGCATGGACCTGCAGTGGGCATCTTGAATCCACACCATTTAATACCTGGCTCAAGAATGCTGGACAGCCAGCCACAGCAGCGTGCTCCAGGCAAGAGGATATAGGAGTGTCAGTGATAACTACTGTATCTGGGAACTGTGAAACTACTGAATCCATGCCATCGCTCCGGTGTTGATCTGTAAAACCTGGTAACACTGCTTTCTCCCTCCTTGTAGAAATCATTCTTTGCTGACACAACTTAACCATGGTTCAGGCACACATATGCTCTCATTAATGACAGAAACACAAAGCCAGCTGGCCTTATAGGCAGCTCTACCTTGTGACATGCAGGTCCTCACTGAGACACACTAACTCGGAAGCTTAGCCTCACGTTAGGCCATAGAGGGGCATGTGATGTTGCTAAATTCAGAGTGTCCAAGCTCAGGCCACAGTGCCACCCCGCAAAGTGAACACACTGCCTTTAAAATTGTGTCAACACCCTGAGTCCCCACTCCAGGCATATCAGGATGAGATAAGGAGCCGAACCAGGTGAACCCACACCCTGCTGTAGAGAACAAGGTGGGAGCTATGAAGCTGTTAACGCCCCAGCAGCCACTCACCTTGTCTGCATGCCTAGCAGGGCACAGTGTGGAGAGGTGGCCTCAGATGAAAACACCAGATCGCACCGATCTTACTACAGAAGGACTTGAACAAACTGTTCCGGAAGAAGTGGAAAACAGTGTCATTATGAAAGCAATAGAGTCCCTTAAACAGGATATGAATAACTCATTTAAAGAACTGGAAGAGAAGCATAACAAAAAGATTGAAGAAACGAGTAAAGAAATGGAAGAGAAATATAACAAAAGGTTTGAAGAAATGAGTAAATCTGTAAAAGACACCCTGGGAAACCAAGAAAAAACAATCAAACAGGTAGTGGAAACAGTTCAAGAATTGAAAACTGAAATGGAGGCAATGAAGAAAACACAAATCGAGGGCCAGCTAGATATGGAAAATCGAGGTAAACAAACAGAGACTTCAGAAGCAAGCATAACCAATAGAATACAAGAGATAGAAGAACGAATCTCAGATTATGAAGACACCATAGAGAAAATAATCGCTCTGACCAAAGAAAACAGCAAATCCAACAAATTCTCATCACAAAACATTCAGGAAATCTGGGACATAATAAAGAAACCATATCTAAGAATAATAGGGGTAGAAGAAGGAGAAGAATTGCAGATCAAAGGTTCAGAAAATATATTCAACAAAATTATAGAAGAAAACTTTCCCAACCTAAAGAACAATATTCCTATGAAGGTTCAAGAAGCATACAGAACACCGAATAGGCTGGATCAAAAAAAAAATCCCCTTGCCATATAATAATCAAAACACAAAGCATTCAGATTAAAGAAAGAGTATTAAGAGCTGTAAAGGAAAAAGGTCAAGTAACTTATAAAGGTAAACCTATGAGACTTACACCAGACTTCTCTGTGGAAACCATGAAAACCAGAAGGTCCTGGATAGAGGTACTGCAGAAATTAAGAGACCATGGATGCAAGCACAGACTACTATACCCAGCCAAGCTATCGTTCACTATCAATGTAGAAAACAAAATATTCCAGGATAAAAACAAATTTAAACAATACATAGCTACAAATCCAACCTTACAGAGAGTATTAGAAGGAAAATCACAACCCAAGGAATCCAACATTTCCATCACTGCCTACATTAACTCAGACAGCTAGCGACCCTTCACAACCACAACTCAAAGATGGGAAAAACATACACTCTACTACCCCTCCAAAAAAATAAATAACCAGAGTCAACAACCACTGGTCATTAATATCACTTAATATCAATGGACTCAATTCACCTATAAAAAGGCACAGACTTAAAGATTGGATACAAAAACAGGATCGAACATTCTACTGTTTACAAGAAACACAACTCAACCACAAAGAGAGACACCTACTCAGGGTAAAGGGTTGGGAAAAGGTTTTCCAAGCAAATGGACCTAAGAAACAAGCGGATATGGCCATTCTAATATCTAACAAAATCAACTTCAAACTAAAATCAATCAGAAGAAATGGAGATGGACGTTTCATACTCATAACAGGAACAATCCATCAGGAAGAAGTCTCAATCCTGAATATCTATGCCCCTAATATAAAGGCACCCACTTATGTAAAAGAAACACTTCTAAAACTCAAGGCAGTCATCAAACCACACACACTAATAGTAGGAGACTTCAACACACCTCTCTTACCAATGGACAGGTCAATCAGACAGAAACCTAACAGAGAAATAAGAGAATTATTGGAGATATGGAATCAAATGGACTTAAGAGACATCTATAGAACACTCCACCCAAATAGGAAAGAATATACCTTCTTCTCTGAAACTCATGGAACCTTATAGAAAATTGACCACATACTCAGTAACAAAGCAAATTCCACAGATACAAAAAAAAAATTAGTAATCACCTGCGTCTTGTCAGACAACCATGGATTAAATTTAGAATTCAGCAACAATGCTACACCCAGGAAGCCAACAAACTCATGGAAGTTGAACAGTCAACTACTAAATCACCCCAGGGTCAAGGAAGAAATAAAGAAATTAAAGTCTTCCTTGAATTTAATGAAAATAAAGACAAAACATACTCAAACCTATGGGACACTATGAAAGCATTGCTAAGAGGAAAGTTCATAGCACTAAGTGCCCAATTAAAGAAAACAGAGGAAGCACACATTGTAGACTTAACAGCACACTTGAAAGCTCTAGAAAAAAAATAAGCTGATTCACCCAGGAGGAGTAGAAGACTGGAAATAATCAAACTGAGGGCTGAAATCAACAAAATAGAAATACAGAAAACAATTCAAAGAATCAATGAAGCAGCACCCAGAGGGCCATTGGAGGGGTGAGTTTGCTTCGCGCCCGCTACAGGGGCCCGGCGAGGAGGAGCTTGGACTTTCACCAACCCCATAGACTCCCAGGTCACCCTGCAGTGCTGGCTACACCCTGCTAAGCTCTCCCGCCTGCCATCCCAGCTTCCATCCAGGTACGAATTCCTATATTTCTCCCTTCCCACTGGGGCCATAAAATTTCCCCAGCTCAGCTGCCTTACACGCTGGGCCTGCTCTGTTGGCGCATCCCGGAAAGAGGGAGTGTCTGTGCTGCAATAGCCTGCCTGAGGAAAGGTAGGCATTCTATCAGTGAATTCCCAGCCCAACAATGGAACCTGATCCGTTACCAGAAGTTCCAATAGAGAGCATTTGAAGGAAGAGATGGGCAGACGCCAAGGCAAGACCTCGTCCAACAATCTGAAAAACAACATGAAAACACCAGATCACAACGACCCTGCAACAGAAGGACTTGAACACTCTAACCCAGAAGAAGTGGAAAAAAGTGCCATTATGAAAGCAATAGAGTCCCTTAAACAGGATATGAATAACTCCCTTAAAGAATTGGATGAGAAGTATAACAAAAAGTTTGAAGAAATGAGTATAGAAATGGATGAGAAATATAACAAAAAGTTTGAAGAAATAAGTAAATCCATGAATGATATCCTGAGAAACCAAGAAAAAACAGTCAAACAAGTAAAGGAAACAGTCCAAGAATTGAAAACGGAAATGGAGGCAATGAAGAAAACACAAACCGAGAACAGGCTGGATATGGAAAACCTAGGTAAATGAACGGAGACTACAGAATCAAGCATAACCAATAGAATACAAGAGATAGAAGAACAAATCTCAGATTCTGAAGATACCATAGAAAAAATAAATGCTCTGGTCAAAGAAAATGGCAAATCCAACAAATTCTCATCACAAATCATTCAGGAAATCTGGGACACAATAAAAAAAACAAATCTAAGAATAATAGAGATTGAAGAAAGAGAGAAACTGCAAATCAAAGGCCCAGAAAATATATTTAACAAAATTATAGAAGAAAACTTTCCGAATCCAAAGAACAATATTCCTATGAAGGTTCAAGAAGCATACAGAACACCGAATAGACTGGATCAAAAAAAAAGTCCCCTCGCCACATAATAATCAAAACACAAAACATATAGATTAAAGAAAGAATATTAAGAGCTGCAAAGGAAAAAGGTCAAGTGACTTATAAAGGTAAACCTATCAGGCTTACACCAGAATTCTCTATGGAAACCATGAAAGCCAGAAGATCCTGGATAGAGGTACTGCAGAAACTAAGAGAGCATGGATGCAAACCCAGACTACTATACCCAGCCAAGCTATCATTCACTATCAACGGAGAAAACAAAAGATTCCAGGATAAAAATAAATTTAAACAATTTGTAGCCACAAATCTAGCCTTACAGAAAGTAATAGAAGGAAAATCGCAACCCAAGGAATCCAACATTGCCATCACTGCATACAATAACCCAGACATCTAGCGACCCTTTACAACCAGAACTCAAAGAAGAGAAACACACAAACTCTACTACACACACACACACACACACACACACACACACACAAATAATAAACAGAATCAACAACCACTGGTCATTAATAACACTTAATATTAATGAACTCAACTCACCTATAAAAACGCACAGACTTAGAGACTGGATAAGAAAACAGGATCCAACACTCTGCTGTTTACAAGAAATACACCTCAACCACAAAGATAGACATTTACTCAGAGTAAAGGGTTGGGAAAAGGTTTTCCAAGCAAACGGACCTAAGAAACCAGCTGGTGTGGCCATTCTAATATCTAACAAAATCAACTTCAAACTAAAATCAATCAGAATAGATGGAGATGGACATTTCATACTCATAACAGGAACAATTAGTCAGGAGAAAGTCTCAATCCTGAATATCTCTGCCCCTGATATAAAAGCACCCACTTATGTAAAAGAAACACTTCTAGAACTCAAGGCAGTCATCAAACCACACACGCTAATAGTAGGAGACTTCAACACTCCTCTCTCACCAATGGATAGGTCAATCAGACAGAAACCAAACAGAGAATTAAGAGATTTATTGGAGGTATTGAATCAAAAGGTCAATCAAACAGAAACTCAACAG